TGAAAATCCATTTGCAGCATTTCGTTGGACAGTACTGTCATTTATTTGTTTCTCCTCCCTGTCGTGTATTTTAGCCTTTACTCAGATATCTTTTATCCACATTTCGTGATCTTCAGTCATCCTTGTCTGAACTTTTATTATGTGGCTTTGATCAAAGACTCACATTTTGTTGCCCAATTTTCTATTGCATGATGCCGGAATATTGACAATAAGGTCGTGTTTGACTAGTATCAAGGTCACGGCTAGGTTCAGTGTGTGACTGTTAACCTTTGAATGTCTGCTTTTAAATACTGCTGCAGATAGATATATGATCCCATTTTGTTGGAAACATTTTTATTCATTCTCATGTATTGAACTATTTTGTAACAACTGTTTCTTTTGATGTTTAGCACGCCAGTTTGTGTTAGAGAAACCATTAACTGCATAGCACAGGTTGTACCGTTCGAGGTATTTCGTATATTCGATATAAATTGTTTTCTTTCCTGAATTAGAACCATTTAAATTGAGCGCAGAGTTTGTTTTGATATAATTTAATACGAGTAACTCAAAAACGCTTTGTGTGCTGTACGGACGAACGTAGTCTGGTCTAATCGAATAGATTTTGGTTCGCTAGTTTTGCGTTCGAACCGGATATTGGCTTTCGGTCGTCACAAACAATCCTCCAGGTATTAATAAACTCAAACATCAAACAAAAGGCACCAGAACCAAGAGATTTATAGCATAATAATGACATAAGAATTTTCCGGTTCGATATCAGTGTCTACAAAAAATGGTCATTTTCGACATTCTTTGTGTCAAATGTTTAGTGTAAATCTTCTCAGTTATCGTACGTTCGGCTTCAGGAATCATGTAGTTGAGATCCAGGGTCACTGAAAAGTCACTCTACGATTTTAGTGACACTTTTTTGCACGTGTGATGACTTTCACTTTAATTTTTCATGATGGGTAACCGAAATACATTGACAGCAAACAAAAAGAAGCCTTTGGTGCGCACATACTATTTTTGAACATTAAGTTAAACGTATATAAGTAATTAAACTAGACGGTGTAACCAACCATTCTCATGAACCACAAACAACTGTGCCATGATAGTGAGTATTGTCACCGAGTGAGAAAGCCTTTCTAGAGCGGTAAACAACAAGGATTACAGACATAATGATCAGGAATACCACAATTTACAATCCAAACTCATGTTCGTATTATTGGTATGGACCGTTGTCAGTGTTGATGTAACTTCGAAAATATTGCCCTCAGTTTATACGAGCTTTGCGGATGATGTTCCCAAATGGGTGTACTACTAGATAACCTACTGAACCAACGGGATTGTAAGGTATTTACCATCAACAGCTCATATCTCCGAAAGTGGATACAATAAGGCTATATAATTACCAAAAATAACTACGAGGAACCTCAAAACTACTACCTGTCAGAAAATAACAGCAGTCTTGCCGAGCGAAGAGCACAGTTCCAAACTACGGGATATATCATTTTGACCCATTCAAAATGGAATGATCAAAGGTATAGAGGGATGAAAAATATTGACGTTAAGAGCAACAAAAGATAATTACTTGTCAAAAAGGCGCTCCCAGTAAAACTAGAAACGTAATTCAGTGGAAAAATGAAATGATGGAATTAATCGATCTAAGATCAAACGATTGGGGCAGCCACCATAGTCAGAGGTCAACTGAATCGGACCGATTTAAAACATGAAATACTTAAGTAGGATTAGCAACTTGTGGGAAACGCAAGGTGTGTCAACTGTTGGACCAGGCTTATATCCTACTAAATATTAAAAAGTATATGAAAAAGCAAATACGTGACATAGGTATATTAGTGATTAACGAGATGTCCTTTCTAAAGTCCCTACACAGATTCTGAGATGAACGCCTGTTCAGATGTACTAATGACGTAGGTGTCGCTCTTCTAAGATTAGTGACTACTTCTGAATTTCTTGTATTGTAATGCATGTAATCATTAGAATGTCACCTCCCGAAAGGATAGTTACTACGTATCCAAGTAAACGCTTCTTAAAAGCTTGTCATGCAGATGCAGCCGACTATGTACTATTTCAAATTTATCTATTGAACCGTGAGAGTTTGGAAAAGTAATCTGACATTTAATAAAATTGTTATAGTACTATGTTGCAGTTAATTGAAATACTTGTGCATCGAAAAGTTTTTCCTCGAAAACAATACGAAGGTACTACTAATGTATTTATAATCTCGTCATTATCTTATAAAGTGCTGTAGTACTGGTGGTATTCACCCACCAGTTTCTCGCGCGAAATCAGTTGACATATTTTCGTGATAAAATATAACACGCAAACGTTTCGAGTCTTACATGTATATGTGTTATAATTTGAGAGTCGGTTATTATTTGTGTAATGCCTCTTTGAAACTAATGGCAGACTTTTCATGGCCATATATTTTTGCCACTTACAGGTAATAATAAGGTGCGAAGTTCCTAGAGCTTTAGATGGATTTATTTTGTTACCAGGAAAAGCCGTAGTTTGTATACCTGGTTGTCAAAAATAACATCACAATTTTAGAACTAATCGTCTAACTAACATAAAGTTTGTCTGCAGCTTAATGCCTAGTATGCATGCAGTCAAGTGCTGATATATATTTGGCTGAAAACTTTATTTGTACAAGTTTTGTTCCGAAAGGATATTGTATATCCTAACAATTATGATTACATTTAGTTAATAGATTATAAGTAGCTACCAATTTTGTCACTTATCAGCATAATAAACAATAACTGTGTCCCAAAATATAACAGTATTTTCGTTCTTTACTTTTTTTTCCATATTTCGTATGAAGAAGGAAAGAATAGTATTCCACCTCGGTAAACTATTTTTCATTTTGTCGAAAGGTATGAGGTAAAGACATTTAAATTCACTAAATATAAAAGACATGTAGGGTGTATCATTATTTTTATTCACTTAAATCAAAATCTTGATACCACAGAAACATCGCGATACCATGTTTACGTAGAAAGACGAGGACCAAATAACTGGTGTTGAATACCTGAGGGGAACCAGGATGAAGTCACTTCATTGGGTGTATTGGTTCAGTAACCTCTCTTCCCATAGGCCTAGGTCTTTACTTAGAGATCACGACAACACTGCTCCTGTGAAGTTCTGGGGAGATTGTCTGAAAAATGACTATCTCATCCGGAGGCAGCATCATGCTCAAGAATTACCCGCTCGAACTAATGGGAGGTAAGTACAAAAAAATGTTGATGCGGAACCTATAATTCTTACAAATGGATGCTATTTTTAGTGGGCAGCAATTTGTAAGTAAGTCAAATACCGATAGTCTCAGCAGCTCCAGCAATATAAGCGTAAATTGAAGTTGCTACAATAAAAATATAATAACTGGATACAGGTCATATAATAAGATCCTACTACTTGTTCGTAGTTTTAGCAAGGCCTAAGACTAGTTCTGAGATCGATGAAGTAGCTGTGGAGCCCTTCAGGAGGGTTTCTGACAAAGAGATGCTGATGAGCTGACGGGATCGTCTAGTTCACTGAAATACAGTCAGTCAATATACATTGATTACGAGGATCATAAGCTGTCGGAATTAGCTCTGTCCTATTTGACTTATTTTCATGTGACAAGTTGAATGGCAAGCGATTCAGTCTTTGAACTAATCCTTTCCTTATCTTTAATTATTAATCTACCCGGCGCTCTCGATTCTTCAACTCTGTTTTGTGCAAGTGGTATTAGGATTTGGTCCGAAACACCAGTTCCTGTTGATATACTAAGTGCAAAGGAAGACTCGTATGAGATTTGTAGCTGGACCAATAGAAAGTCCCACTGCAGATTGATAATGGTGAAGAGTAACGGAGCTTTTCCAACCTCTTCCTTTATGGATGGCCCTTTGCGACCAAACTTCATTCTGGGGTTTACCCCGTGTGAGAATTCGGGCGCATCTTAATACTGTGATTTTGCTGCCAATGAAGTAAACACTACCTTGTTATCCCTTTCCAGAACGTTAAGTAGCATGTCTTGAGAGCTATTCAGAACAGTTTTTAGTATTTACTGACAGCCAAACCTGGAAAATATCCCATTTTGTCCTCAATGCCTGAAAAGAGCACCACTTCCCCGAAAAATTCAGATAAGAAAAATCTAGAAGGTCTCGGGACTAACCTTACTCGTCCCTCCAAATGACTTTTGACTTGAAGCCTTTGTGACTGAACCAGTGACACCACCAAAGGATTGTTGATATGCTTAGTTGCTGAATTAAATGTAAAAAGGCATATATTTGGCAGAGAAGAAAGAAGAAAAAACAGAAAATCGCGTGTACATTTTTTCATATTCAGAATTTTCAAATTTTCGATCTCTTCGGTCGAAGCGACAGTAACGGCATCTTTCATATGTTCTTTAAAACACAGCCTAACGATTAATTAAACCTCGTCGTTACTCAAGAACCAAATTCTTTTTGAGGATTGAAATTGTGGTGGACCAGACAGATATGAACGCGAAAAGTATCAACAAAGTTACTAAAGATCAATAGTAATATTAATATATACCAGTTAATTGTTACAAACACAATAAAAATTTGGAACGTTACTTAAATTGACCAAATGTTGCGTGTTCTGATTGTGTCCGGTATTGTAAATCCACACTTATAAATGCTTGGTGATTCTGAACGGGTTGACGAACTCTCCAGTGATATAATCCAACGTAGAATGTGGTATATTCCAATTACAGTCTGTAAATAATGATAGTATTTGATTTAGACTTCAGTTAACTCAATCACAAACGAAGATAGAACGAGGAATGTGTGAGTAGTAGTGTATTTGTTAGCCAGCAAGAGTATGTCACGCTATGTCAGTATCATAACGGAAAGTGTGTTCATGGTCATTTACTAAAAAAACAGTTACAGTCATTTAGTGTTAAATATACATACAGTGGAAGGTTGACAAAATAAATACAAATAACATTGAAACTATTTACAAAATAAGCTTGTCAGGCCTACCTCCACAATATCAGTAGCGCTGGTTTTAACAGTGGCGTTGCTTATACTCCTCCGAAGGTGTTTTTGTCATTCATTTCAATTTAGTCGCGGTAACTGTGTATGAACTGATAGATTTTTGTAGTCACGCTCAGGATGATAAAACATTTTATCATGAGATAACACTTTCGTCCATTATTTCACGACATGGTGCTGAATATCCTTAATCTCCCAATTTGGGGTAAAGTTTGACCCATTTTGTGGAAATTTTGGAGAAGCCTCTATAGAAAAGTTTTGGGAAATGGCATTAAAATCTCAATATTACCTCTAAACATTGGTGAGGGTCATTTGGCTTTGGGGATCCACTTATAATTTCACCAAACTTGGGAAATTGGGTTGTCGTCGAAGACAACTCTCAACGTCACGTTGAACTCACTGTTAAATATAAAAATGTTCATTAGAATGCGTACATTATAAATGTAAATACTTGAAATATCTAAAGTATCTTCTACCTCAACAAATGTACGACGATGGTTTCAAGGACGTACCTAACATAGATTCTACGCGTTTTTGTGAAATTAATGTTACAACCTACTCACAATTGTGAGTAGGTTGAGTGTTCAGATTCACGTTTGTTTATTAAGGATTAAAGCTCAGCCTCCTGTGTTTATTCTTTTCCGACAAGCTCCTGTGAGTTTCTAGTCTTTCCACGAGCTGGAGGTGCGAACAACACTTCTTCAGGTAGCAGATCCTAAGAGTTGGTAGTTTGGTAAGAAAACATATATACAAAGTGTATTTTACTTGTCCTTGGTTTCCGAGCTAGATTTTCATGTTCACTGGGTTGTCATCATCTAGTAAAGTGAAAAAACGGGATATTTGTCAGATATGAAAATATTTATTGGGATTTTCTACATCGAAATCTAATCACCCCTTGATACGCGATAACTTCTTAAGCTGCCTTGTGTGTGGCAAACCCCAGGTCTCTAGATTTGCGTGGGTCCCTTTCTTTTGTACTTATTTCAGGATGTATGAGTCACCTTTTGAACAGGAGATGAACATGAACGCAGTTGTAAAGTTTGAATCACACTAAGGTGATGTATACTATGGTGAACATGCTTGTATCCAATATGTTAAATGTCCGTCTTAAGGTTCATAGGGTTCTAAAACTTTTAGCTGCAGCTGCACCTCTGTGAGGCATGGTCTTGAGGTCGTGGCTCACTATTACCCGATCATCCCAAAACAAAACTAAGATCACCAACGCCTCCTCCAAGCGCATTTTATTGTATCGGCAATGTGCATGTAGATACGTTTCACCACGTCGATAGGCACTGACTATATTTTAGACCAGCTAAGAGGAATGTTTGGTCCGAGCTGTAGTGCACATGCTTCTGCATCCCCGTTACTTTTCTCCAAATTTTGAATTCATCACCATAAAATGTAGATGTAAAGGACCTAGAATAGAGCTTGGTGGCACTCTACTAAGTACTGGTTTCGATGAGGAATATTTGAAATTTACTCTTACTTTTTGTCGACGACCTACCATTAAATGTTTGATCCGTTTTAGAAAAAGGTACTTCAAGCCCTAGCTTTTCCAGTTTTGGGAAAAGTCTGTTATGCGATACCGCATTAAATGATTTACTGATTTCAACGTAAACAACGCGAGCTGGTTTCCTATTATTGAACGAATCGGTTCATCACTCTCTTGCTATAATGAGGTTAGTTATGCGGGATAGTCCTTTACTGAAACCATGTTTCTTACTGACTAACAAGTTGTTAGTTCCCATGATCATAATGGCTTTTTTAGTTACTCTCTCCAGCGTTTTAACTACGACTCTAATGAGGCCGATAGATCTGTAGTGTGATTGGTGTTGTCTTGATCATATCTTGTAAGTTGGAGTGACAGTTGCATTTTCTCAGTCCACAGGTAACTTACTCTGGCTGAGTAGTATTCCAGAGTTCGTTGTCAGCTGGGTAAAAATGTATAATCTAACTTGTCTCAGGATTTTGGGGTACAGCCCTTTCAGTCCTGTTGATTTTTCCATTTCTAAAATCCTTCGTACTTTTAGTACGTTCTTTTTTGATGGTTTTGAGAGTCGTAGTACGTGATACGTAAGAAGCAGCTTTTCCACACTCGTCTGCCTAGCTGGTGACGGATTTAAACCAAATAGCATCTTTTTTCTTCAAAGTTTGAAGGTTGTCATCTATCACAACTGTTTTTTGTTGATATATTGTCAATAAAGTCAGTGTGTTCAATCTTTGGTTCGTGAAGTTGGGAAGTATAAATGTTTGAAATGTCACTCATAAATAATTGTGGATAAGCTTTATAGAATTGCTATGCAGACAGAAACGTTTTATTGTGAGAATTCAGCTGACTCACAGTTTAAGGATTTTAGCGCTGATTTCTGTTTCGTAACCAGCTCTGGTAGCAATACAGAAAGTTGTATCTGAATGTTTTATTTAATTGATACAAATTGTCCCAGTAATGCATGTTCACATACATTGTAGTTAAACTTTGTTTTCAAGCATTTTGTAAAATAAATTACTCCATATTTATGTACCATAAGCTCTTTAATGAACATTTTCATTTTATATATTTCAGAAACAGTATAACATCCAATAAACTACAAAATGAAAGTTGATGATGTTGAACAAGATTGGTTGTTTTATCTTGCCCAACCAAATAAATTATTATCGGATATTGAGGGTCTAACTATATCACATCAGTTGGAGTTGCTTAAACAATCCTTATCACAGGCTGAAATAAGTGAAAGAAAAACTAGTCTCACTAATTGTGAAAATAATTCAGTGGACAACTTCATCGGAGAAAATGAAACTATGAATCCTGATGACATATTTGTCGAGTCGTCTAGGTTATTCAAAAAGTCAAAAGTTTTGGATATAATGTCCTTACAGATTGCTGCTAATCTAAAATTCAATCTAAATCTTTTTCGAGTCATATCAGAAATGCCCATTAAGCTTCTTGCACGTCTCTATAGAGTGCTCGTCATGAGTACTTCAAAATTTTCATCAGTTTTACAACCTCTGTTTGAAAATGCGATAAATAAAGAAAATATTTTCATTATAAATCCTTACGGATACTATAGATGGTCTCAGTTAAATCCTATGACAATTTATGGTTTAATGTCTTACCATATATGGTGCCTTCATGTATGTTTGTGAATTCACATGATATTAATATAGTTTAGGTATCTCATACATCCAGTATGCTGCCACATCCCTTTCGAAATCTTACTCCTATTGTTTCTGGTTTAACTGAAATTCCTGAGGTGGCGTTTTTTGCGGATAATCGCGTGGAAGTTGGCGTTGTTCTCACTCGCATACAAGAGTCTGTAAATCAGCTAAACGAAATCAACAGTCTTTTGGATGATCTCAACATAGCTAGACCTCTTCCTTCAGTGTTTTCAGCGCTGAATTCCATGTTTCCTACAGTTTTTGAACCAAAGATTAAGTCTGCTCAGGATGATCAGAACCATAACGGTCTATCAGATTTTGTTCTTAATAACTCTATACCTCTCTCTAAAAGCTATCTTTCTGCATCGCTTAACTTTGTACTCGGAAGGTATGCCTTTCAGCAGCAACAGTTTACTCAATCACAGAAACTTTTTCAAATCGCTTACGATGAAATGCAAGATCAAAAGGTATTTTACATTTATGTAGTTATTCGGTGAATGACTTTATTGTGAATGTTTACTTTTAAAAAGTCTCAAACTAGAACAAATCATCTATTCAATGCTTCCTAGTCTTCTATAGTACTTTAACTAAGATCAATGTTTTTAATTTGACAATATTAAATTTCATTATTAATATTGTATGTAAAGTTTTTATTTATTTATTTATTTATTTACAGATACATTATCTAATCGTTCTGGGATCAGTTTGTCTAGTTTATACATTATAGGTGAAATGTTAGCAACAATAGATGAAATTTCACTTTTAATGTCTACTGTTGGACTTAAATTTCCTTTAGATAATAAACGTATACTTTCTAATTATTCATTTATTGGATTACAATTATTAGATTATTTAATAATTGGGTTTGCTCAAATTACACATCAAATTTGTGGAAAATTTAATTTACAAATTTTAGAACAAATAATTAATTGTTTTAATACAGTTAATAATGTAGAAAATATAAAAAATAATGAACAAGTGAATGAAGATACATTAACTACAACAAAAGGGACAACTACTACCATCACCACCAGTGTTACTAATACATCTACTGATTCACAGTCTACTACTAGATTTCGATCTTCTAGATGGGATAAACCAAAAGATAATTTATCCACTACTAAAAAACATAATAATAGTAATAAACGATATCATTCTGACAGTCATGAATGTGTGTCGTTTCTAGATAAACAACTGTGGATTTTAGACTTGGAAACGAATTCTTCAGTAAGTCTGTTTATATACATGTTATATTTATAATAGATAATTCGATTTATATGATAATTTTCCAAAATAACTCATTTGTATACTGAATACAAGTTCATATAATTGGCTTAATGACATAATTTTTCTTCGTGTGTGATGTAATTAATGTTATTATTGTCTAGCTATGGATTGAATGTTTAATTTTTGACGTAGGCTTTGGACTTCCATTGTTTTAGCTAGAAAGCTACAGTTTTATAAAGAAATTTGACTCTTGTATTCCAGTTCTCAGTGAATGCAGCAATTAATATTGTCACTCATGAAATACTTATATTTATTTTGCATACAAGCTAGTTACCAAAACACTTGTCATAGTACTGCGTAAAACAAGTAAAACTTAATCGTTCATAATTCATCTCATTCTATAACGTAAATTGGTGCAATTAGTACATGAGAAAGGAAATTTACAAGTTATATAATGAACTGATCTTAGTTAGATAACCAGCACGAATATGGAAGCACTGGACAGTCGTTTCGTTTTTGTATGAAATTTCTAAACAGTATGAGTCTACTGGGGATCAGACCCGAGACTTTCAAATCTTGCAGTGTGTGCTTAATCCACAGTCTATCAAGTTAGCATCCAATGTTCCACGTATTTAACTTTAATCACTATCGTGGTAGAAGTGTCTAACGTTTCTCTGACTGAAATCAGTCCGTGAAGTAAACGATCAAATTCAACAATCTCCATAATCTCCCTACACTAATGGGGAATTTAGTCAATCAGAAAAAATGGAGAATAAAGCGCATACTAAATAGTAATGAAAAGTGGAATAAGAAGAATAACTCCAGAAACCAATCATACTTATCAAAAGAGTACAATTTCCGTTGATTATCACAGGATTCATCAAAGTCAAACTGAGTCAGAGTTGTGGGTATTTAGAGGTAAGATTAGAATAATTAGTGGTATTTGATATATTGTATCGAAAAGATATAGTCGAATCTGTCCGAGACTCACTTTAGCGGCTACAAGTTCGCCGGCACTTAAAGACATGACGATCGTGAACCTATGTGAAAGGTAGTCCTTTGTAATTATAAGTAATAAGTAAAGCCATGAATAATGTATACAGTAACTATTATTTAAAACAAACATAACAAAAATACAGTTAAGTGCTCTAGTGATTATCAACCCATAAAATATGAACAAACAAATTTCTTATCTCTAATAGTCTTTTTGGTAAAAGTACACTACGGAGACTACCTTGAACAACCCATCAATCTATTAGAAGACAGAGTTTAGTTCTGAAACAATTATAAGTAAAAAGTAATAACAATACGGTCTATAAGACGTTTTAAAAGGATTAGTGGACGTATCAGAGAAAACCGAAATATTCCTCGTCAAAGCCCCTAGACACCCAGAAACGCCATGAAATTTTATATCCAGTCAGCGTTTAATAGTCTTTGCAGAAACATTCAGAAAATGCAGAATCACGTCCCATGGTTTTGTTTGGAAATTTACCTACGCTGCTGCCATATTTAATGTGGTTCCAGAAGTCCTGGGTCTCATATGACTACATACCCTCATTTTTCTGTACACAAACTAACCTTGAATTAAAGTTTTATTTGCAATTCTTACCCTCTCTCTAATGTTTCAGTTAACATGGAGAATTAGTTGGAGTTATCAAAACTAGCCAAGAAGACAGTTTAGATGTATTGGTGTCAAGATTTACCTGAACCCAGACATATGAAATTATAGATAATCACAAAAGAAAAATGTTAAATTTGGGAGTTGGTTAGTTTGCGAATACATTTTAGCTGCCCAAACCACTGTTGACTATGTTCTAGAACTCATCGATTACTAGGGTCATTAATTAATTAGCATTCTGGATGCAGTCTGCACAAAGAGCCGATGGTTTTGGTATAGTGTCTTACATAACACGTCACATTAGTCGGGTGTGGTTGCACATTTGATCGTCTTAATAATTAAATATCGACAATTATTATCTACCTGTTCATAAGGTACAAGCTATCCGATCGTGTTTTGACTTCACGCGGGGGTCCAGGAAGCGCTGTCTAGTATCTTGTCGGTTTGGCGATATAGTGTAGTTTTACTGTCTTAACTTTTTCTAAAAGGTACACCAATTTTTGTAATTACATTTATATTTATAGATCTGTGGGAAATCGTTATGTGATCACCTGAATTATTTCTTAAATTGGGGTTTAACTGCTCGACCTGAAAGGATAGATTGGCTTATATTACGTGGTGAAATAGAATTTTTCGTGAACAATTACCGTCAAGCTTTGTCAACATATCTCGAATTTGGTAGCGTTGTCACGGACGCATTCTCAAAGAATGTTTTATCAGTCTTTTTTACAAAAGAGGTATTACGGTTTTATTATTGTGACGGTTCATATATATATATATATATATATATATATATATATATATATATATATATATATATATATATATATGCGGTCGTATTATAACTTGTGCCCTATTAATGTATAACTTCCATTACTTCATTGTCTGAAAACACAGTTATATTGTATCTGGGTTTTTTTAATAGTAGCTGGTGTAATTACGCTAAAATTTGTATAACAGTTTTGACTGAGCGCCCACAGTATATACATATTTTAGTTCTGTGCTTCTTTTTGAGTGAAATTTTCACCAGAAGGGTACTACTAATTAGTTGTTTAAATGGATTTAATAGATTCTCCTCATCCACCCTTCCCACAAATCATTACCTTTCTATTTAGATTTTGTTAGGTAAGTGTTCTTTATTATATATGGATTTTGTTAATTTACTGCTTTTGTGTATGATAACCTATAGCCAGTTGTTTGTGGAAATGGATAGACTTTGTCGTTTTTATGATGTCTTTGTTTCAATGATAATCTTTTCTACATATTCATTTACATAGTATCAGTGTGTAAAGTCTAAGTTGTAAATCATTGTCCTTTTATTATTAAGAATACTTAATTAAAATACTCTCATCTGATGCATACATCTACACATTACTATGTATTATCGTGGACTTTAAATCTATACATTTCATCTGTTCAGTTTTACAAACTTCGTAGATCTGTACAATATTTCTCATCTATAATAGACTTAATTTGTTTCAGCTCATTAGCTTTGTTGATTGTTTTTTGCGAATCTGTCATCATTTTTCTGTTATAACAAAAGCTACTAGTGTTGAATTTATATATATTAGTTCATTTAATCTTCGGATTGATGTTTAGGGTTGCAACTGATACGTGAACCCTGTACGGATAGCCTTGTGATTGCCGTTAAGTCACACGCATTTTGAGCTTAGAAATGGACGGTGGCTAGCAGTTGGAGCTGATGAATCGCAGTCCTAAACGTCATTTGGACGATTCAAACAGCCAGTATATATATGAATTAAAATTCTCATCTTACAAACCAGTGGTTATCTGAACTCAACAGCTAAGTGGATAATGCGATGTCGCTTAAAGCGAAGGGTAGTAGGTCTGAGTATCGTAGTGAACATCCAGGTACATCGAGCTGAAAAGTCCTAAACAAAACAAAATGCACATTCTAGATCCTACTGTCATGTTCTATTTGTCTTTACCTAAAATACTATTGTCCAAATTTAATGATGGGATGATATTGTTATTTTTAAGTTGGATGGCTTAATTGTGAAATCTCAGTTGCTATTCTAGGCTAATTTGCTATAGATGTAAGCTGGCAAATGATATCACTAACTTACTCCTGAAAATGGACTAATTTATCACTAACTTTTATCCAAAGTAAGATTCTGCTTTCAATCATAAAAATTGAAATTTCGTAATTAAACCATCCAACTCAGAGGACACAACACTACTAAAATTGCAAAACTTATGCATAATTCTTCATCATTCCGATGTCATTTAAGAATATAATTTTATTTTTATGTTTTTGTTTCATGTTATTAAGTTGGTGTTTCGTATGATGTGTTGTCTTCAATATCTCGGATTATTTTATGAAAGTGTTGTTCTTTCACAATTCGGACCATCCTCTGATGAATCTCTTGTGGATAATGTCATTCAAATTATTAATAGTCTAGGTGAAAATTCTAATGGTTGGCCAATAACTCAAATAGATACTTTTAGTACTGCAGTAATAAACCAACAACCATGTTCTTTTGATAACAGTACTTCTGCGGATTGTTTACGTGGATCTTGTGGAGGTTCACTTCTTCATACTACATTAGATTGTCCCGATAGTTTAATTCCTTATTTATGGAATATTCGTTTACTATCAGCACTCGAACGTTCTGCTTCAAATCGTGGTGCCCTTTTACAGTCTACCAAGTTTAAAGGTAATAATTGTTCTGTTGCTTTAATATATGACAGATTTTTGTCGAGTTGAATATTAAGAAACTGTATATGCAGAGAGTAGCATTGATTGATAAATTATATGGAGCTATAAATGTTGAAAGAGGTTATGTAACAATCTAACTGCTAATGAGATGTTTTTAAGATGAAAACATTTTATACAAGTGAGATAATTGTTCCTTTAATGATTATGAAGAACAGATTAAATAAATTTTTTAGTAGTGGTTAATTCACTTCTGAAGAAAAAAATACAACAATAAAGACAGTAGGTTATTGAGTATGGAAGCTAGGAGCGGTGTTTAAGCCACTGTAAAGTGGAAGATTGGAAAGGTTTCGGTACACAGATTAAACTAGAATAGGAGTATTACCAAGGCCTCTGTTGTAAGTAAGTTCCTAATTTTTAATCCCTTCAAACCCCTTCTTTTGAATTTATGAGTGATTTTAAAGAAGAATTCTGGCAGGGCAATTTCGCTAGTCCTTACGAAATGCTAAACTGTTAACTGTCTCTGTTGATCTTTTTTCATAATCAAGGAGATCAATTTCCAGAGTGCTCGCTTTGTACTGCTAATACAGCTTACCACACAAAACCAGTTAAACTTAAAAATGCAGATTTATGTGGATAAAGAGAAAGCTTACCTTCATATATCCACGAAACATAGGGAGAGTTGAGAAACTGGGCGAAATAAAATGTCTTCTTTTGGTTTTAACATTGAAAGAAAGTTTAGTCATTTTATAAATAATTCATTTTAATAATAAGTTTAGTGACACGTAGTTCAAAAACGATTTTATAACTATTTGGATCGCTTACGAACTACTTCGGCAAGTAGGTTACGTGTAAGGTACGATAAGATATTGAACTGAAAAAGAAGTCATCCTAGAGGTGTGTGTAAAATTCTCAACTCAACATAGATGCATGAACATGAGTACATACCAAAAGAGACCTTTTTGAAGTAGAAAGCGACCATGGCTTCCTAATGTAGATCGTCTTGTTCGGTAATTTCTCATGATAAATGATGTACTGACGAATATTCCATGCTGCCATGCATTATCAAGATCTATACAAAGTTGCAAAATTGTGTACATCTTTTGATAGATGGCATACTATCAACAGTGATTGTCAATATGTTGTGGCGGATAACGTCTCATATGTACCTTACTAAAATCACATGTTGGTACATTTTCTACGTGCTGTTATTATAAAAATAAGGACTAGTCTATTCTTTTCTTGGTTAAGCATACGTCGTTCCTAGCATTTACATCAGTTTCACTCTTCTCTTTACAGCTCGAATCAATAATCCTGAACTCAATGCTAACAATCCAGATGAAATATTATTGGAAAATAGATGTGCTTTAAATCTTGAATATCTTCGTTATTTGTCCAACGTTTATTTGATTTAATCATACCACTTATGTCTGCGAATAACAGTTGTGAATACTTTTGTACAATTCTTTATATTTTGATACTGTAATACAGTTCTATAAATATGTCGACCACATTAGTAATCTGAATAGTACCGGCGATATATCTCCTTCTTGTATCTGCGTGGGATTTTCGATAACTATACTTATTGATGATTTCTTAGTAATAGACATGAACCAAATTTTGCGTTGGTGATTCCATCGAAACCCCACAGCTATTATTTTACCCTTAGTCCATTGAACATTAAAGAAGGAATTTTTTATGAGTATTGTTACATTCGAATTCCCTATGATCCCGGAATATTCTGCATAACTTCTAGGCTTATCTGTCGCTTACTAACAGAACACCAGTAAATCAAAAGATAACAACTTTGCTTAAAAAGACGATATTATGTGGGTTTGAATATACGTATGAAAATCACGCGAATGTCTGAATAGTTACTCAGCGAGATTCCTTCAGTTTGGTGTGTGCTTAATGAATTTGGTGCAATCAGGCGATCGAAAAAGGCAGAAGTCTGCTATCGGGCAGAAAACCCCAAGTTGTCAGTAAGGTAAAATATAAGACGAGCTAATTGTCAAAGAGAAGTGTGTAGAATTATGGTCTTCTTTAGTATTATTTCATTTATTCTTGTCACTATGATGGTAGACAGTGTCATATAGCGTTGGGATCTGTTTGTGGACTAATACTACACATATCTTTTTATTGTATAATTGTTAAGTAACACCTATATATATATATATATATATATATATATATATATATATATATATATATTCCTCTTGTAATAGGCTTTATTTTGACCTACAGAATATTATTATACGATTTACCATTCCTAAGTTATGCCCAGTCTATCAATTGCAGTCTCCCACATTCATAGCCACTTTTGGCTAAATCTTGTACAAATATTATTTTCTACTTTATGGTGTGATGTGGTCTGTTTGGTTTTTATATAAACCCAGTACGTTTGAAATATATGATTCATAATGCGGAGGCTGAGATTTGTGTTCTGGACTCAACAGGCAGGAAGAAGGACCGATAAGGACTCTAGACTGCTCGTACGGCTTTGTCTCATCGGTCCGGTTGATAAGTCACTGTCCTCGAATTGGCGGTATCATTACGTTATATATTAATAAGACACAAGGCCTCAGGTTATAACAGACTTAATCCTAAAAGTAGATTTGTCATAATGTGACAACTTAATCTTTAAGGTCTTACTTGGAAGTCACATCACAGTCTACTCTGCCTGGTTCTATTGCGATAATCATCAATATAATCTCTAGGATTTCTGAACAGTACATTTGGTCTGGGGAGAGAGTAATATGTTTTGTAGAAAAGCGAGAGGTTACACATAGTGACCACGATTTCATGGCCCTTCTATTCTATAACGGTTAATATTTTTCGCGTTCACCAATTTTGAGTGTCTCAGCAGTTATATGTTCAGCTTCAAAGATAGTGTGGTAAGGAGCGAATATCACTATGTGTGGTCCACCAAAAAGGAAGTTCATAGTATCCTAATAGCTTACACAGATGAACGGTCGAAATTTCCAACAGCTGCACATGTTTCTAACTATCAAGAGGCACTGTTTCTATTCTCTATGGATGACCAGATTAATGAAACAAGGGACGACAGTCCATTATGTTGGCCATCAAAGTCCAGTGCTTTGGTAAAAGAAAATCGAGACAATCAGTGAGGAATTATGTAGTATCAACAAAAGAAAAAATGATAATACGTCCAAATGTGATAATCTCAGGCGAGCCGGAAGATATAGTGAAGTCGTCGAAGGGCCAAATTTGCACTCAAGGGGAGACGAATTGCTGTCGTGTTGAGTGATAGGATTTTTACACCTACGAGAAATGTATCACGGTACAGGTAACTCGTTATCATGAGGAGGCTTATGTCCTACAACCGACCAATACGTTTAGATGAGCTCAAGCAACCGATAAGCAGCAAGGAGTTGTACACAGCTAGTTTTTTCTAGATCCAGAACATATGAAAAGCTTTGATAAGCATTAGTTGGCATAAATGAGGTCAGCGCAGAGGATATATGTTGAAATTTAACCCTATAAAATACGTTAATGAGGGAGCAGTATATTATGTTGTGATATTTTTATATTTAGTAGTTGGCTAGCAAGTAAACGACTCTTTAATACATGCAGATAATTAAGGTCTGCATAAAAATCCTGCTTCAAACCGTATCTTTCCAAAGTTGCTCATATCTTTGCCAATCCTGTTTTGAAAGTTTCTGAAAAAGCCTTAATAAAAACCATCCCCCAAGCAACACAAAAAGGGGAAATAAAGGCGAACAAAGGGGAAATGTCGCTTTTTCGCCTTTACGTCGGTTATTTAGGGGAAATGTCGCTTTTTCCCCCTTACGTCGTGTATTTGGGGGAAATTTGTCGACAATTCGACGTAACGTACAGTGTTTGAATGAACCGCCTGCGGAAAGGAAGTTTTCATACAATTCGACAAATGTAGGCACCGCTTAATAAAGAAAACAATGACAATGTCATAAAAACAAGGTACGAAATAGGGAATTAGGCATTCGGTTGATACGCATATAGAGTGACTTCGTTTGTTGTTTAGCTAAAGTGTTTCGACATGCTTTGGAGCCATCACAAGAAACTTACGTGATGCAGGTGAGTGACGTGCTCTCAGATTTTCTTGTTCATTGTAACTGATTACCTTGTAAGGCCAATAATATGAGTCCTATTGAAGTCAGTGAGAATGTTCGTAGACGTAGGGCAACTGTGAACTTGTCACGTTCCCTTGGCTGTCATAGATCCACTTATAACAGAAGGTGGAATAAAATGAAAGCTGCTTTCATGAAAAAATATCACTTTCTTTCGTTCAGTGAGTTTGCTAATGAAAGCACCCTAAAAGGTAACTGAGTTCAACAATGTTGTTTACTTAATTGATAGAAGTAAAGACAGAAGTCAGTTGTAATGAAAGTACTTCGACTAGTACACCGTCCACTAGCAACATCAATCAAAGGCTTTCACAGAATAGCGGTATGAACATTAAATTCTTACGTTAATATATATGTTATAGGATGTACTCAAGTGAACTTGTGCTTTCAACAGTTCGTGAATCGCAAAGAACTGATGAACGACTTTATGATATATCTAATGTCAAATACATCTCTGAGCATAAGAGATGCTGATCGGGTTATGTATGGTCTACGATTTCTTATCCCGGACATACCGAAAAGCATCAGAGGTGTTCTGAAGACATGTCCAAGTGTTCAACCAAAGTTCCTCGGCAGTGGGGTTTACTACCATCTAGGATTGAAAACCAATCTGCTAAGATACGTTGAGCTTTGGTTGTGTACTACTGAATTTGACTCTTTAAAGTTATATGTCAATATAGATGGACTTTCTATGTCTAGAAGCTCCAATCAACAGTTATGGCCTATGCTAGGACGGATCATTGCCCCTCGGTTTAGTGACGTGTTCATGATAGGGATCTACGGAGGGAATAGTAAACCCGCAGAATTCAACGAATTTTCTGCGGACACAATTTCTGAAATAAAAGAAATGACTGACGTGGGTCTTTTTAGTGTCAAGTTTAATAAATGCATAGCTATTCGGTTGGCGGCTGTAATATGTGACGCACCTGCTCGTTCCTCTGTTAGGTACACGGTGAATCATAACGGTAAGGCAGGTTGCGATAGGTGTACTGTTCTTGGGAGACGGCTGGAGGGTAAGACAACCTTTCCAAATGGGGTATGTACTTTTAGAACAGACGACACCTTCCGTCGTCAGACTCAATCTATTCACCATCAAGGACATTCTGTAATGGAAACGCTTTCTATTAATATGATTATAACTTTTCCTCTAGATCCTATGCACATGGTGTACCTTGGTGTAACAAAAAAACTAGTTAATTTATGGATAGATTTAGCACGCCGAAGACTGCTGAACTTTAGCTCATGTGTAATTAGGGACATAAATAATTTAATATCTCGTTGTGTGGCAAGTACTCCTTCTGACTTTCCCCGTAAATGTCGCACACTAGACTTTGTATCGGCATGGAAAGCTTCTGAATGTAGGTTGTTTCTTCTGTATTTAGGTCCGGTGATTCTTGAAAAAACATTGCCACAACCTTTTTATCTTAATTTCCGGCGTTTAGCGTTATCCATGTATCTGCTTGCACATCCAAAATTACATAAAAGTGTTTTAGAAACGGCCGAAAAAGATTTACTTAACTTCCTGAATGAATACGAATGGTGTCATGGGTGTGAAAACTTAGTTTACAATGTGCATTCGTTACAGCACCTCCCTGACGACGTTCGTGCACATGGGCCTTTAGATAGTTTTTCAGCCTTTCCATTCGAGTCTTATATGAGAAAAATAAAGGATTCCGTGCGTAGTGGGTTTGCAGTTGCTAAGCAAGCAGCACAGCGTTATGCTGAGAGAATGTCCTTCAGCGATAGGCTTCAAATTAGTGGTTTGACAAATACTACTCCAATAGGCGCCAATGATGTCTCCACTAAACAAGTAATTATGTTTAACAACAGTAAAATAACTTCATGTCAGCCTGATAATGTAGTAGTAGTGAACGGCCAGCGAGGTTTAGTCACTGATATAAATGAGGATGGACTACTAAAATTTAGGACTTTCACTGACCCATGCAATTACTTTGAAGATCCTTTCCCATCTAGTGATATTGGAATCTTTATGTGCTCCGTAGTTAGCCACAAATACACCTGGGTATCGGTTCAGGACATTGATTGTAAATGTATAGCCATCAACTGTATCAATTATATAGTTGTAATCCCATTGTTCCATACTTTATTGTAAATGCATTTTGTTTCATTAGTGTTTAAGTAATGATGATTAATCATTTACTTACGTCTTACGTTCTTTTCAGCCCACTAACAAGAAATACGTTATTGTTGACGTCCTACAAAAAAAACAACTTATGATAGCATCAAAGGACTGGATAGTTGGCAATGACCTTTGCGTTCTTCCGAACGACCTGGTCGATATACATCTGCAGAAGTGCGACCAACCGAAGGAAAATTGGTCACTTATGAAATGTTAAGTGATTCACGAATTAGGTAGGTAACATACACAGAAAGTATAATTCACTACAGATTCTCTGCAGTCGGCAAAAGATCTGTTAGTTGCCCTACAGATACTGGAATGTCAACGGAAAAACACCTCAACGGATGAAAACACTTTGCCACTTAACACTGAGAAGCAAAAAAGGTCTGTAAAATAATCTTACTTACATTTCCTAGAGGTGTGATGAAGCGTAAACAAGATTTTCTTTACAATTCAGTCGACATGGATGTTGCTGAGATGCAGGCTGGGAATAGCCGCGTACAATATCCCAAATTCCGTGTTTTCGACAAAGTGATATCGCCAATCGCCAATACGTTTAATTACTATTTAGATATTCACGATTTAGTTCAACACAATTGGAGACATCACCATCCACATCGGAATGTAAGCATGTTGGTGGCGCTGTATTGGACCAGTAAGTAACCTGCATAATCTAGTGACCTTTTTCACCTGTGATAGGTTGTATACTGTGGTGCTGAAGATGTCGTCAACTATCAATGACTTGACTAAAACGATTAACAACATGTCGTCCGCATTTATGTACTTGAATGTTAATGTAAACCAATTGCTTTCAAAGTCTAATGAGAGCGAAAGACCGCATCAATTCGATTGCGGACTGTCAAGTCAGCGGTTCCCTTTGTCATCTGAAGAGGAA